GACGATGCACCAAGAAGAGGGGTTAAGTTTTCTAGCAAGGTTGTGACCACGGAGGGCAGTCGAATAGGGAGTGGAAGCATGGACCCGATGTTTCAGAAGCTGCTAGACTTGATTGAGTCATGGGGAGATTCAGGCCAAGGGCAAGGAGAGGCATCCGATGGGCGAAGGATCAAGGTCATCATTGCTAGTCGTACAAAGTACAAATGGGGAAAGAAGAAAGGTGACCAGTACCTTGTGACATAGGAAGGCGAACTGCTCCATAGAGTACATGGCTAATGGACAAAGATCTTAGGCGAAGCCAAGGCGAGGTGCGCACGTACGTGTCGAGGCTTTGTACCGAGGGCGACACAAAATTGGGTGGGGGAGAGTGTCATTGCCCGCCACATCATCATGCAGCGTAGGTGCCACTTGGCATATATATTTTTGCTATATGGAAGGGTTACATAACTTAGGGACTAGCTCATGGTGGAATATTCTAGAACTATGGAGAATTTCCTTGGGAAAACTCTAGATATTTATGGACTTGGTAGGAAGACTCTTTAGGAAAGCCTTGGAATGTTCTAATCATGTAGAAAATTCTAGAGGGTGTACTTATTTGTAAATATGGAAGGATTTATGGAACAATTATTATTTACGCACTATCCCATAAATAGGGAGCATCATTTGTAACTCACCAAACTCTAATACAAAAGCTTCCTTTGGCAATTCTCTAGTGTTCTAACATTCCCTTAGCAATCTTTAGCGTAGCAAGGCTGACTTAGCATAGCAAGAACGTGAGCAAGTTGTCAAGTGTCGCACGTGCGATTAGTTGAAAACTAAGGACGTGACATTATTCTGCAAAAGGAACGGGTCCTTACTTTACTAAGATATTTAAGTTATGGGAATATAATATTTTGGAAGAAGATAATTTGTAGGAAAAGGTTAGGAGTATCATTCTGTTTCATTTGCTTGAGAAAAGCTAAATTTCTTCTCTAAATTTGTTTTTCACCTATCAAAAAGTAATTTATAGCATTTAATTAGCGAGAAGGGAAGCTCTCAAATCCTCGGAGGAGAGCAGTTTGTTGTGAAAAAAAGCAATTATCTGGCAAGACCTAACTAAGTCAATTGTGATTTTCTTCGAATGATTCAAAGAACATTAGTCTTTTTGAACTTCTTCCATGTTAAGAGGGTCGTAACTCGTAAGCATTTTATTATCTTCATCTATGATTAGAGATATGATGGCCTCTTTTAACATCTATAAGAAGTTGGTAATGCAATATATCTTAAATTAGTCATTTTTAAAGAAATCGGTGAATGGATTCACATTGTTTTTACGAGGTACAAATAAAAATTTCTCTTTATGTGACTTATTATGAAATTGATCATAAATCAACTAGCTTATGTTACTCTTTCTAAGAGGCATGCGTAAGTCGAGGGCATACCAATTAAATTGATTGGGATGACATATTCTCCTTTCAGAGTTTGGAAAATTAAAATTTCGATCAAATCGTAACACTATTTTACGGTCCAAGATAGATTCGTCCTATATAAACAAAGGTAAATTATTAAAATTACCCCTAACCTATTGAAGTTATTTTAAAATTACTTTCATTAACCCATTGGAACCTAAAAAATTTTACCGTTATTTTGTGTCAAATACCCCAAAACTAACGACGAACTTATTGGCTTGNTCATTGCAAAATGTCAATGATATATTTTTATATTTGAAACTAATTTAACTTCCAAAGTTTTTATTTTATTTTAATGAAACGCTTATACAGTATTACAAATATTATGTCATGTCTAAAATCATAAATTTTAAAAGAATTATAAGAGCATAAATTTTATGATATGTTTAACCGTTAACGCTACAAGCTTCAAAGTTTTCATTTGTTAAAAATCGTGGTATCATATACTGAAACGTGAAAATATTTTTTTCATCTTCTCTTCTTTTTATTTTACTTTTTCCTTGTTCCCCCCTCTCGTTTCTTTCTCTTTGATCATTTGTTTTTATTTTCTTGGTAAAATTTGTTTACATGGATCAGAGCAGAAATGGTAAGAATGAGGCAAACGAAAAATAAAAGGAAAAATTCAAGTACTTAAACAATCGTAAAAACAAATTCAAGTAGCTACGTGCTACTTTCATATAAAGTTTGGGGGTTATTTTATAGTTATACGTACTTAATGTAGTCATTCGCCAATTCCCGACTAAGTAATCAAGCCCCCATCATTCCGGCAGTAAGTACTCCTCCGTTTCAATTTATGCAACATGTTTGACTGGGCACGGAGTTTAAAAATATATGAAGACTTTTGAAATTTGTGATCCTAAACAAATCAAAAAGGGGATCAGAATATTTGTGCGGTTTAAAAACTTCTTATTAAAGGTAAAATTGTAAGTTTAAGCAAAATTATTTTCAAATTTAGAAAGAGGTCATTCTTTTTGGAACGAACCAAAAAGTAATAGGTTCACATAAAGTGAAACGGAGAGAGTACTTCTTAATTTTCTTTTCGCCACCACCGACGACTTTCAGGTGCGTTTCGCTTCTTTTTTTTTTCTTGTTAGTTCATTGTTCATCTCTTTACGAATTTTGAAGCATTATATTGTTTTAGAAGTTTCTATCAGTATAGTATTGTAAAGCTGGAACGTTATATTATTTGTAATTTATTTAGTCGGAGATTGAAATGTCTAGTGTGCTACAACTTGCTTTATTGAATTAATGCAAACTGTTAGTTCCTTACCTGTTTGTTACGAGAGTTTTTACCCAAAACTTGGGTCAATTTTGCCCCATTTCAATATATTGGATGGAAAAAAAATGAATTTTCTAACACGAGGTGATATTTTCCTAAGCCTTGGTAGTACAGTTACCTAGTACCTGTTTTGATGGAAGTAGCGGGTATCCGGTAGAATAGTCGATATGAGCGCAGACTGAACTGGACACCATAATCATAAAACTCTGGCAATGTCGCCCTAAGCATGGGCGACTTCAGTAAAAGCTCTAACGGCTGAGACTAGATGATTATTAATGATGAAAAGAGGTACGTCGTTTCAGCTTAGGGCAACTTCATTACTCCTGCATGGTATGAGTCAGGGTTTTGAATTTTTTCCTTGCGGCTAGATTTTCACTGTTATATTAGGAGACTTTGCTAGCTTGGTGCGACTATAGGCGGTCAAATAATCCCCAATGGCTATTTTATATAAACCTTCTGTAAGCTAGAAAATGCACTTTGTAAACGATGAAATATTGAGAAATGAAGATGGCCCTTTTTGGTAATTATATCAAATGTTGCTGCATCGATGTTTGCTGAAAAAGGTCAGATATTTATTTATACATTATAACTGCATGTATTTTACATTATAATAAGATATACGATATGATATAACTATATTGAGTGTTGCACTTAAAAGTGTGGTCTAGTGGTCAAGCAAGTGGGTTACAATTCTCGGGTTCAATTAAAAAACACTAGATGATTTCTTTTCATTTATCCAAACCTTGGTGGATAGAATTACCTAGTACATATTGTTGGTGGGATATCGTAGGTATCCCGTATAAATTAGTCGAGGTGCGTGCAAATTACCAGTTTTAAAAAAATGATTTTATAATGATAAATGGAGGCGGATCTAACACATAAGCAGTGGGACTACCTCGAACTCTCTCTATATATATATATATTTCGTGTGTGTATGTTTATATATAGCATTGAAGCAGATCTAACATATAAGTGGTGACACTGCCTCGAACTAGGAGTATATATATATATATAGAATTAAAAGAATTTTTTTTATTAGTTAAGTGGTGCGTATTTAAATTGTGGATTCACCTCAGGATTAATAAATTACTGTCAGAAACCTTTGTATGTGTTTTCTAAACACTCAATAATGCTGCTATGTATACTGAATCTATATTTTGGTTTTGTTTTGTATACACTTTTTGTACGAGCTTTTTTTTGTTTCTTTTAGTTAAAGGAAATTACCATAGTTTACTTCATTGAAAAAAAAGTATATTACCAATATATAATCCTCCACCAAGTTGTTTTTTTGTTGAATCCAGTATCCAGAAGTTTAAACTTCGGTGTGATGTGGAAGATGAATTGGCTTGGGACACATATTGAAACTTGGCCGAAGCTTATGAATGTTCTTAGATATGTAAATACAGTGACAATGTTGGTAGAACGATTTAGATAATGCAAAGAGAGGAAAAGGAGATATTTCTCATGTTTAACTAATAAATTAGTGATCAAATTACTTGTTAAAGAGTACAATGTGATATTAAAACTTTTGATGGCATAATTTTGTTCAGAGTAATTCGGAGATGCCGTTTGGGTGTATGTGGATGTTCAGGGAGATTGACTCTTGAGGATTGTAAATTTCACAAACTTAGTGTTTGCAGTTGTAACGGTCCATCTTTACATAAGGTTCTTTACTCCTTTCCGAGTAAATAATAAGTGTCGATCTGTATAATACTGATTGTTTGACCTTGTATCACATTATACGTGTATTTATAATTTAGTTTAATCTGAAATCAAGTTCTTGCTGCAGAACAGCTTATCAAATGTCAAGAAAGTTTTGGTGGTGACTGCACCAACTAAATTATTCAGTAAAGAATTTTCACCACCTTGTGCACATACATATGGAGTACTCACGGCTTGTGACCATATGCGTGTTGCATGTTTTAAAGAACATATGATCTATCCTGTTTCCATTCCATGAGGACTAACTGGATGTCTATTTTCCTTTTCAGGGTAAGAGCTTAAGAGCAATCAAATAAAGTGATGTAATTCAACGAAGAAGAGGATTCAATTGATATGAAAGAATATGAAGAACAAAGTCTGTGTATAGAGAGAAGAAGAGACGGAGCTTTCTATATTGAAAAGAATGAAAATTCTATCTTACACAAGGCTAAGAAGTTAGTTTAAATAGTCTAGCTAACTAACTCACTAATCTTAGCTAATCAGTTAATTAACTAATAATCCTAACTAACTTAATAACTAACAGTCAACTAGGAAATGACTAAACTACCCCTTTATACTTTAACACTCCCCCTCAAGTTAGGTGGTGTGAAGATGTTTAAGACACCTAGTTTGCAGTTTAGATATTCATGTTGAACTTTACTAAGTCCTTTTGTAAGAAGATCAATAGGCTGCTCTTTTGTTGCAATGTACTTGGTAGTTATCAAACCTTGTTGAATTCTTTCTCTTATAAAGTGGCAATCTATTTCTATGTGTTTGGTCCTTTCATGATAAACAGAGTTTGCAGCTATTTGAATAGCTGCTTTACTGTCACAGTATATCTCAACTGGCAGTTTGATGTCTGCATCCACTTCTTTCAGTAATCCAATGAGCCAAATCAACTTTGCTACACTAGTTGCTAGGCTTCTGTATTCAGCTTCTGCTGAGCTCTTAGATACTGTAGTTTATTTCTTAGATTTCCTTGAAACTAGAGAATCACCAATCTTAATTAGAAAGCATGTTACAGACCTTCTGGTAAGAGGGCAAGAAGCCCAATCTGCATCACAATATGCAGTAATAATGTTGCTAGATTTGCTAGACAAAAGTATTCCTTGATTTGACTGATTTTTTATATATCTTACAATCCTCAATGCTGCATCCATATGAGACTTCTTAGGTTGTTGAAGGAATTGGCTTAGTGTTTGAACACCAAAAGATATGTCAGGTCTTGTTACTGTTAGATATAACAGTTTTCCAATGAGTCTTTGATAAACTTGCTGATCAGTGAGAGGATCTTCTTCTGATTTGATACCCTTTCCAACTTGTTCATCATACAATTTTTATATGAGCTTCATGTTGGTGTCTATAGGGGTTACTGCAGGCTTAGCTGTTGATAATCCAGCTTCAGATATAAGTTCTAGTGCATATTTTCTTTGATGCATAATGATCCCATATTTAGACCTTGCAAATTCAATACTTAAAAAATACTTTAATTCTCCCAGATCTTTCATCTTGAAGGCTTTCTGCAGGGACTGTTTAGTTTCTTCAATTAGCTTCAAACTATCTCCTGTAATTAACATATCATCAACATAGACGAATATCATTGCACTTCCCTCACTTGTCCTTTTGATAAATAGAGAATAATCAAATTGACTTTGTTTGAACTGAAATTTTTACAAAGATTCAGAAAACTTTCCATTCCATTGCCTTGGTGCTTATTTAAACCCATATAAGGATTTGATTAGTCTGCATACTACTTTATTCTCCCCCTGACTTGAAAATTCTTGAGGTAGATCCATGTAAATTTCATCATGAAGATCTCCTTGGAGAAAGGCATTTATACACATCTAGTTGGTGTATATGCCACTGGTTTGCTGCTGCTAGAGCCAAAATAGTCCTAACAGTCACCATTTCCACCACAGGTGAAAATGTTTTTCTTGGTAATCAATCTCTTCTTTTAGACTATACCCCTTTTCTACTAGTCTAGCTTTAAACCTTTCAATTTTACCTGTAGCTTTGCATTTGATCTTGTAGATCCATTTACACCTTATAGGTTTCTTACCTTCTGCAGTGTAATAATATCCCAAGTATTATTGTTCTCAAGTGCCTTTATTTCTTCATTCATTGCTTCCACCCATCTATGGTCTTTTACTGCTTCTGAATAGCTTGTAGGCCTATTAATAGAAGAGAAAGCACTCATATAGGCTTGATACTTGGATGATAGTTGATCATATCCTAGATATTTGTTTATTGCATAAGGTTCATCTCTATGAATATTCAGTGATACAAAATCTCTCATCCATATTGGTGGATTTTTGTCTCTTGTTGATTTTCTGACAATCATTTGTTGAGGTTGAATCTTCTCAGGTATTTGTTGATCTACCACAATTTGTTCTGACTTTTGAGAGGATAAATGAACATCTTTGATTGGTGAAGAAGGTATATTTGTATCTGTTCCTGATAATTCTTGTGATGCAGATACTTCATAGTCTTGATTATGTTGTTCTGATGTAGTGTTTGTAAGACTACTCTCAGGTATAACATCCAGTGTTATCCCTGTATGAAGAGTAGGATCTACAAACAGTGGCTGTGCTGCAGTTTTGTTTCTATAACTGAAAGGAAATATGTCTTCCCTAAATGTTTCATCTCTGCTAACAAAGAAAGATTGATTAATAATATCAAATAGAATATAACCTTTTTAGACCTCTGAATATCCCATATGTATAGCTTTATTGGCTCTTGGAATAAGTTTATCATGTTCTTGTACAATCTTTGCAAAACATAAAGATCCTAACACCCTAAGATGTTCTAGGGAAGGTTTTTTCTGGTATAGTCTTTCATAAGGAGTCATATTTCCTGTGACTGAACTAGGCATCCTATTTATCAAATAGACTGGTGCTAACACACAATGACCCCGGTATTTGATTGAAATTTGAGCTTGAAATCTAAGAGCTCTAATGACTTCTAGTATATGTCTATGTTTCCTCTCAGCTACCCCATTCTGCTGAGGGACATAAACATAAGTTCTGTGATGAATAATCCCTAAGTTCTTAAACAGATTATCACACATTGAATTCATAAATTTTGTGCCATTATCAGTTCTTATAATTTTTATTGTTTTATCAAATTGATTTTTAACATAATTGAAGAAATGCTGTAATGAGAGAAACACATCAGATTTTTGCTTAAGTAGAAATATCCAAGTCATTTTAGAGTAATCATCAACTATTGTAAGAAAATATCTATTGCCATCAAATGTAGTCACTTTGTAAGGTCCCCACAAATCTGTATGTATCATGTTAAAGCAGTAAGTACTTTTAATGCTACTAGAATGAAAAGGCAACCTAGTTTGTTTAGCACAAGGACATACATTGCATTTGCTAACCTTTTCACTAATGAATTGTAGACTAATAGGTAAAATTTTCTGTAAAACTATAGTAGACATGTGACCAAGTCTTTTATGCCAAAGATCCACATCTAGTTGCTTGTCTAGATTTGACTCAACTTTTGAGGCTGCTAAAGCAATCCTTTTATTCTTCTCCATTATTTGTCTTAGTAAGATGTAGAGTTCATCTTCTTCCTTACCAATCTCCCTCACCTTCCTAGTGAAGAGATCTTGGAAGAAGCAAAAATCAGGGAAAACAGTTACTGAACATTTTAGCTCCTTAGTAGACTTAGACACAGATAGTAGATTAAATTTAAATTGTGGCACATAAAATACATTGGTAATTGTATTCTTATCTGATAAAGAACTTGCACCTATGTGAGTGACTTGTGTTATATCACCATTTGGTAAGAAAACTTTCTTTGGTTTTTCAATTTCAGTTATTGAGGATTTATTTAGCATGTCAATATCATAAACCATATGATTTGTAGCTCCAGTGTCTATAATCCATTCATAAGGTTCATCAGAAACTAATAGTGCTTTAGGAGTACCTGTTAAGTTTGCTTCATAATTGTCTGATGTAGGCATTGAAATATTGTTTAATATCTGTACAATTTAGTCATATTGGTCCTTGGTGAATGTATAGTTTCCTAATTGATTTGCAGCATTCTCTAGTGACAGCCCATATGCACTTGAATTTTGATTGAGACTGTTACTTGCATTCTGCTCTACCACATCTGTGTTCATTCCATATTTGAATGCCATAGGTGTCACTATATTACTCCGATTAGTCTGAGAGGTATCAGTGAGTACATTGACTGCATTTGCACTATGGTTAGGATAGTGAACCCCAGGACCTTTCTTTTTGAACTTGAAATTTGCAGGATAACCCACAATCTTGTAGTAGTTTTCTTTGTTATGCCCCTTAAGCTTACAAAACTCACATTGAATATTGTAATTCTTCTTGAACCTTTGAGGCTGACTATTACCATTTCTTGAGTACATAGCCATATCATAACTACTAGAAACTGCAGTAGGATTAGCCCCTAACAAACCAGACACAGCTGCAACTGATTTCTGACTTTCATCACTAACTATCATTACATATGCTTGATTCACTGTAGGTAAGGGACTTCACATTAAAATCTGACTCCCAGCCTGTGAGTATAAATTATTTAGCCCCATTAAGAACTGATACAATTTTATTTTTTTATAGATATAACGCAAAATCTCTTGATTTTTCACAATCATACCCAGGAGCTGGCACTAATGCCTCAAACTCTTCCCACAAATCTTTGAGTCTTGAAAAATATACAGAGATGAGGCAGTCCCTTGAGTTAGAGTTGTGATTTCTTTATGTAAGTTGAAGGTTCTTGACCCAAAAACCTTATTAAACCTTTCCAATAGATCTTCCCAAATAGCTTGGGTATTAGAGGCATACATAATTCCTCCTAGCAACCCCTTAGCCGCAGAATTTATTATCCAAGACAAAATAATTGCATTGACTCTCTCCCAATGATTTTCCATTGTTATAGGATAGTTTTTCTTCTTGCATGTACCATCAACCATGCCTAATTTATTTCTTCCTAACAATGCAATCCTCATAGACCTATTCCAGATTGAATAGTTTTCAATCCCTGTCAATTGAAATGAAATTATTTGAATTCTACTTCCATCGGCTGGTGACAAGAACAACGGATGATTGCAATCTAATCCTACACTTGGGTTTTCAGAATTTTGAGTATTGTGATGTCCTGTGCCCAGAATTCTTGAATTTCACTAATCATATTTGTCTCTAGAATTTCAGTGAAAACTTTGATCGATTTACAAGCTTTAGTCTTTGAGCTTGTACGGCTCTGATACCATGATGTAATTCAACGAATAAGAGGATTCAATTGATATAAAGAAGATGAAGAATAGAGTTTATGTATAGAGAGAAGAAGAGACGGAGCTTTCTATATTGAAAAGAATGAAGATTCTATCTTACACAAGACTAGGAAGTTAGTTTAAATAGTGTAGCTAACTAACTCACTAATCTTAGCTAATCGGTTAATTAACTAATAATCCTAACTAACTTAATAACTAGCAGTCAACTAGGAAATGAGTAAACTACCCCTTTATACTTTAACATAAAGAAAGCCCGTATCAACACAACAAATAAATGAACAGTTGCATTCAAGTTAGCGTCATCTTCTAATTCATTCTGCAGGGATATGCCAGGAATGAAGCTCCTCGCACGTTTTAGATCTTTAAGTGTATGTAAAGATCTTCATGCAATCACAGGGCCTCTATAATCTCGTTCATTTCAACCTGATTTTAATCCTAGAGATCCCAATGCCAAGCCCAAAAGATGCAAATACCCTGCTGTTTTTGATCCATATGGACCTTGACCTCCACCTTCAGACAAGATCATTCAGCTCGCTGAACTAATTGCTACTCTATCCTCTGAAGAGCGTAGGCGTATTAGTCCGTTACTCCAGGAGAAGCTAAGACACCCGAAGCTGAAACAAATTTTCGTAGAAGGCATGGATTTGAGTGAAATGGGAGGAGCAGGTGGCGAACCTGCAAAAGTCGAGGAGAAGAAGGTAGAGAAAACAATATTTAATGTCAAGCTGGAGAAATTCGATGCAGCTGCAAAAATCAAGGTGATAAAAGAGGTACGTGCATTCACGAGTCTAGGATTGAAGGAAGCCAAGGATCTTATAGAGAAAGTGCCTGCTATACTTAAGCAAGGAGTGACAACAGAGGAGGCGAATGAAATAATAGAAAACATCAAAGCTGCTGATGGAGTTGCTGTTATGGAGTAACAGTCTCTGTTAGGATCAGAGACAGTTGAGAAAATAGAAATTTTAAAGTATTCTTGAGAATTTCATTTGATTTGGTGCTAAATTTAGAGTTTTAGGTATTATTTTGGTGATTTGATCACGTGAGCAGGTATGTATGATATTTTTAGACTTGCGTGCATGTTTGGTTTGGAGCCCCAAGGGCTCGGGTGATATTCGGGCGATGCGCAAGTTGAGTTCAAACCTCAACAAGGCTGCTGGTGCACCAAATCTGGTGTGTCTGCACCTGTGAGCCTTTGGTCATTCTTCCTTGCAGGGGTTGCCTTGATTAGAGTGGTGAGGGAATCTTGGCCATTCTGCTAGCAAGGTTATCTCTTATGTAAAGGCTCGGCATATGGTCAAGAATGGGTGTCTAGCTTATTTGGCTTATGTCCGCGATTGTAGTGCAGAGGTTCCTTCCATGGATTCAGTGCCGGTTGTTCGTGAGTTTCCAGAGGTGTTTCCTGCAGACCTGCCGGGGATGCCACCCGACAAGGATATTGATTTCTGCATTGATTTGGCTCCAGCCACTCAACCTGTTTCCATTCCGACATACCGCATGACCCCACCAGAGTTGAAAGAATTGAAAGAGCAGTTGCAAGATTTGCTTGATAAGGGCTTCATTAGACCTAGTGTCTCGCCCTGGGGTGCACCTGTGTTGTTTGTGAAGAAGAAAGATGGATCGATGAGGATGTGTATAGACTATCGACAGTTGAACAAAGTTACCATCAAGAACAAGTATCCATTGCCGAGGATTGATGATTTATTTGATCAGCTTCAGGGTGCCAAGGTATTTTCAAAGATTGATTTGAGATCTGGCCACCATCAGTTGAGGATTAGGGCATCCGATGTTCCTAAGACAACTTTTCGGACTCGGTATGGGCATTATGAGTTTCTAGTGATGTCATTTGGGCTGACAAATGCCCTGGCAGCATTCATGGATTTGATGAACCGGGTGTTCAAACCCTACCTGGATTCCTTTATGTTTGCGTTTATTTATGATATCTTGATCTACTCCCACAGTCGAGATGAGCATGAGCAGCACTTTTGGATCGTTCTTCAGACTCTGAAAGACATCCAGTTATATGCTAAGTTCTCAAAATGCGAGTTTTGGTTGAGTTCAGTTGCTTTCTTGGGTCAGGTTATATTAGAAGAGGGTATTCAGGTGGATCCTAAGAAGATTGAGGCAGTCCGAAATTGGGCCAGACCCACATCAGCTACAGAGATCCGTAGTTTTCTAGGTTTGGCGGGCTATTACCGTCGATTTGTGGAGGGGTTTTCATCCATAGCAGCCCCGTGACCAGATTGACCCAGAAGGGTGCCCCATTCAGGTGGTTAGATGAGTGTGAAGCGAGCTTTCAGAAGCTCAAGACTGCTTTGACTATGGCATCGATATTGGTGTTACCCATAGGTTCAAGATCTTATATAGTATATTGTGATGCATCTCGTATTGGTCTAGGTGCGGTATTGATGCAGGGTGGCAAGGTTATTGCATATGCTTCATGGCAACTGAAGGTTCACGAGAAGAATTACCATGTTCATGATCTAGAGCTGGCAGCCATCATTAACGCATAGAAGATTTGGAGGCACTATCTTTACGGCGTGCCATGTGAGGTATTCACTGATCATCGGAGCTTGCAGTATTTGTTCAAACAGAAAGAACTCAATTTTAGGCAGAGGAGGTGGCTTGAGCTATTGAAAAACTATGATATCACCATATTGTATCATCCCGAAAAGGCCAATGTGGTGGCCGATGCTTTGAGTAGAAACTCAGTCAGTATGGGTAGCCTTGCATATATTCCAGTTGGTGAGAGACCGCTTGCATTGGATGTTCAGGCCTTGGCCAACCAGTTTGTGAGGTCCAATGTTTCTGAGCCCAGCCGTGTTCTAGCTTGTACAAATGCTCGGTCTTCTTTATTTGAGCGTATCAAAGATCGGCAGGATGACGATCCTCATTTACCTGTCCTTGGAGACACAGTGCGGCACAGTGGTGCCAAGCAGGTTACTGTTGGAGATGACGGAGTTTTGAGGATGCAGGGTCGTATTTGTGTGCCTAATATGGATGGACTTCGTGAGTTGATCCTTGAGGAGTCCCACAGTTCCCAGTATTCTATTCATCCGGGCGCCGCCAAGATGTATCAGGACTTGAGGTAGCATTATTGGTGGAGGCAAATGAAGAAGGACATAGTTTCCTATGTAGCTCAGTGCCTAAATTGCCAGGAGGTAAAGTGTGAGCATGAGAGACCTGGTGGTTTACTTCAGAGGTTAGATATTCTTGAGTGGAAGTGGGAGCGTATCACTATGGACTTTGTTGTTGGACTCCCACGGACTCAGAGGAAGTTCGATGCAGTTTGGGTCATTGTGGACAGGCTGACTAAGTCAGCGCATTTCATTCCTGTGGCAGTTACTTATTCCTCGAAGCGGTTGGCAAAGATTTATATTCGTGAGATTGTCCATCTTCACGGTGTGCCCGTGTCTATCATTTCTGATTGAGGTACGCAGTTTACCTCGCATTTTTGGAGGGCTGTACAGCGTGAGTTAGGCACGCGGGTGGAGTTGAGTATAACATTTCATCCACAGATAGACGGACAGTCAGAGCGCACTATTTTAATATTGGAAGATATGCTCCGCGCTTGTATTATAGACTTTGGAGGTTCTTGGGATCATTTCTTGCCACTTGCGGAGTTTACTTATAATAATAGCTACCCGTCGAGCATTCAGATGGCTCCATATGAGGCATTATATGAAAGGCGATGCTGATCGCCA